CCTGGAGTCTGGGGAAGGCTCGGACGAGGGCTCTGCGTCGGAGGCAGAGGGGGGGGGGCAGGGCCACCTGACAGATATCAGCTACCTTCGGAGTCGGAGATAAGTGGGGCTAAAGAACAGTTGGAGTCTGTTCCCGATGTGCACATGCGCAGAGCTGCCAGCAGAAGGGAACAGCTAAAGTACAATGGTGAACTCGGGAGTAAAAGCACAAGGGCACGCTGAATGGCCCCTCCCACAGAAAATAAATAGGAGCGTAAGGGGAGTGGAGTTTGCAGGAGACAAATTAGTTTGCTTATTAGTGCGAAGATTTGCTTATCTGAGAGGCTCCTTGCCAAGTATTTCCTTGTACAGCGTTGTGCCTGGAAGCTCTCTGCCTGGCAACTATCCAAGGACTGATAAGGTCGGTGTTTGCAATTCACCTTTGAAAGACTGTTTGGTGGGACTTTGCTGGATGCGAATGCTAAGAATTCACATTAGCCAAAGAAAAAGAGGTTTTTTTTCGGGACAAGGAGTCTGTTTCTGCGATTTGGTGAGGCCTAGGTCAGAAGAGTGCCTTCAAGCCATTTTCTCTCAACTCACCTTCCTTGATGCTCTTCAGGAAATCTTCCTGGGCTGGTAAACTCTGAGGATTATGTTCCAGACTCTTGGGGATGTGAAAAAAAGCACGAGCGGCCGGTAAACGGAACAGTAATATTTGCATAATGGAGAATAAGTTGGATGTCAGCCAGTAGGTGAAGATAGCCTGCATGGGAGAAAGAGGGCATGGGGTGATTTGATGGGTTCTAGGTTTGCTTCACTCCTTCACCCACTGATGACGTCATCTAGCCTGGTATAGAAACGTCTGAAGGAAAAACCAAGAATCCAACAGTTCAATGCTGACTAAGTATATCCTTTACTACTGGAATTAGGTGACCTCTCCCTGCACCACTGCAACACAGAAATGATAGAGGGGATGCAGTCCTTCCTTATATGGACTAGACCAGGGGTCTGCAACCTTAAACACTCAAAGAGACATCCGTTTCCCACAGGGGAAAAAAAAAACACCGGGAGCCACAAAACCTGGGTGGGTGTGGCCAACTCGATGTCACTCACTCCCACCCAGTAACATGACCCCCTATAAATCTGATACATACATAAAAAAAACTAACAGCTTTCAAAGGATGGAGTTGAGACCAGAATTATTTCTACTAGGGATCACAAAAGAAAAATATGGCCAAGGTGGACTATATTTTAATGCTGCCTATTTTAACGGCGGCATGATGGTTTTCACACAAAAATGGAAAAATAAAGAGACTCCCTCGGAACAAGAAATGATAAAGAAGATGCCGAAGTGCGCAGAAATGGACAGACTGACTCTTAGAGCTCAAAGGCAAGGGTGAGATGGAATATCACGGAATCTTGGACAAATGTACCGATGATTAGAAACGAGGGAAAAAGGCAGGGACAGAAAAAACAGACAAGAATTGGAAAATATGGTATTAAGAATGTGTGTGTCAGGCCTGAAGCCATATTCCCTTTGGATCTTTAGCCTGCCACACTTTCTATTACTATACTATGCCTTTTTTATTGTGGGAAAATGGGAGGGGGGATTGTACGGCGTTAGATGCTATGTAGCAAAACAAAATTCCTTCTAGAAAGCCAAGGTCATCCTTTGCCTCTGCACCTCTGCACCTGACTGGAACTGGATGGGTGGAACTGCCAGCATGGCAGTGGAAGATTAGACCATGTAGTGGGCTTGTGGGTGTGGGGCAAGATCTGGAACTTTTAACTGGGTGGGGAAAACTGGGATGCTTTCA